GTAAGAAAATTGTAATAACTAAACATAAGTGTCACAGAATGATAAATTTGGTGTCATTTGAACGATAATGTGTTGCCCTGGCGATTATTGGAAAACCTATATTGATACTAACCGTCAAACATACTTAAAAACAGACAAAAACAGAAAAAAAGATATGCAAGAAAATTGATTATTTTGTGCATTTTCGCACAACATTTAAAAACTAGTATTATTATTATTAAATTTGTTATCTTAAGTCTTCTACGTTAAGTAATAGATGCCATATAACATTGGTCAAAATGGGTGTAATAAAATTCAAATTACTTTCAAACTATTTATACATAAAAATGAGAAATCAATGTTTCTCATAAAGAGTTTGGACATGTTCAATGTTACAGAAGCTGTTCAGAATGGCCTCCATTATTGGTTATGCACATTGTTGCTCTTAAAACCATGTGTCGTGTTCCGTTCGGAGCGGTATGAATCCTTTCCACGAGCTCTTTCCATATTGCCGACACATGTCAGTAAACTTTTTGCTTCATTCTGCCTCAGAAAGAATAATCTAGGGGCATCGAATCGGGTTATCGGGTGGCTAAGCGACAGTGCTTCCACGACCTGTCCATGGGGAATGTTGCCCATCCAAAAGTTCTCGTACAATTCGCGCAAAGTGTGCGGGAGCTCCGTCAAGCTGCAACCTCATGTTGCGGCGGTTGATAAGTGACAGATCATGAAGTAGATCTGTAAACTCGGTCCTTAAGAACTCCAAAAATCCCTGGGCATCTAACCTTGGACATAGCTCAACTGGGCCGACTGAGACTCCGTTTCCTGTTGGAAAGTGCTCGGTCGAACTGTATGAGGGTTTTCCGAAGACCACAAGTCCATCCACAGAATGTATTCCCAAAAGTTGCAGTCTTGACACAGCTGCCGTTAAAACCAGGTGCAAACTATGATTCTTGCTGCATAATATCACTCATGAAGATCCTGAACTCTTCTAAAATGATGAGGATATAAACCTTCTCTCTTAAGAACTATCCAAGCCGACCGATGCGACAAGGGTAGTCTTGCAGCGATCCTCCTCACACTAAGTCTCGGATCTCGGGTAATTATGTTGAGAATCTCTTCTATATCTCATGGAGACAGTAACCGATAATGGTTGTTTACTGGACTTTGAATCCCATTTTCCGCCAGTCTCAGGTATGTAAAGACAAAAGTCCTAACACTGCGTAATTCGGTCAGGAAATCGTCTTCGACATTATCTCACAGCAACTGCGGCATTTCCATTGCAAGAGCCGTGAACAAACACCATATCAGCAACATAGTGATTTAAAAATTTATTACGTGGACAATTTGGCATGACAGAGACTTAGGCATGACTAATAAAATGTTCAGTCACCAGTCACCTCCAACTCAAATACGTTCAGAAAATTGATATTGAAACTAGTCAGCACTGGTAAAAAAATGAACGTATGATCACAACGCATGGCGAGGGACTACAAAACACTCACTATGACATTGACAACAAATAACCAGTTGTTACCATCTCGATAACGAGACCTTTTGGTAGATGTTATCTCACTCACACTCTCAATACATTCATCTCTATACCAGGAACGTTGGATTCGGTCCGCTACCTGAATCGGGGAAGCATGCCAAGGGTCATATTTAAGCAATATTTGTACTTATAACTAACATAGGGTAACAAGTTCGGTGTCATTTTCTAGATAACATAGTTAACTGTAAAATTAGCACAAAAAAGTACAACTTCTCAGACTAGTTTTTGAATGGTGTGCGGAAATGCACAAAATAGTCAATTTTCTTGCATGTTTTTTTCTGTTTTTGTCTGTTTTTAAGTATGTTTGACGGTTAGTATCAACAACTTGTCGAATAATCGCTAGGACAACACGTTATCGCTCAAATTACACCAAATTTATCATTCTGTGACACTTATGATGTTATTACAATTTTTTACATGCACTAGCGTAATCGTAACGTAAAAATAAAAATGGCTGCCATTTCAAGGGTGGTGAGGTAGGACATTGTAGGGGGGTGGATTTGTCGATAAAAATAGCTTAAATATCGGTATGTGGTGGCCAAACACATTGTATACAGGGTGACAGGTAAATAGGTGTAAAACATTTTAGGAGGTGATAGTACAGCTCTTTTGTTATCAAAATTAGTATATAATACCATACCCTATATTCAAAGGTTAAAAAGTTATGGAAGATTTAATTTTTTTTAAAAAACAACCCAGATTACAGAGTAAAATAGTTGAGATAAAAAAAAGTTGGTGATTAAATATTCTTTTTTTGGTGGTTTCAGGTTATTATTTAAATAGATAATTCTCATAAATTAAAAAACATATGAAAACACTACTGAAAACGTATTTATTTTCATTTAAATGTTGTGTACCAACGCGTCAAGGAAAGTGGACAGGTTCATGAGAGACGTCATGATGCTGGTAGACCTCGGTTGTTTGACGACGAAGATCGAGAGGCAATACTGGAATGCTACGGCAGAGACCCGACGACGTCTACACGAGTTATAGCAAAGCAGCTTGGTTTAACTCAGTGGAAAGTTTGGAGACACTTTACCCTTTCCATTACACACCGGTTCAAGTATTAGAAGAAGGAGATCCCGCAAGAAGAATTGATTTTTGTCGATACATGCTTCATCGGGATCGAGAAGAAAACGACTATTTAACTGAAATATTGTGGACCGACGAGTCTAAGTTTGATAGCGAGGGGACAACAAATTATCACAACTTATATTATTGGGCCCCACGAGAGGCAAATTCCCACATGGCAAAGCCAAGACCCCATCAAAGAAGATTTTCGGCAAACGTGTGGATGGGAATCATTCATAGATATCTAATTGGACCAGTTTTTTTGCCTGACAACCTGAATGGCGAATCCTATGAAAACTTTTTGAGATCCGAACTCTGGGAGTATCTCGAAGACCTGCCTCTGAATATCAGGATGCAGATGATCTACCATCACGATGGCTGTCTTGCGCATTTCCGTCTGGGTGTTAGACAGTGGCTGGACGAGAAATATCCTTGTCGCTGGATTGGCCGAGGTGGACCGACACAGTGGCCAGCGAGGAGCCCCGTGGGGGCACATGAAGTCACTGGTGTACGCTGAGCCCATAGACACTCTTGCACAGTTGAAAGAAAGAATTATTGCTGCTGCTGACACTATCAGAGGACAACTAACTGGCCACATCACGCGTACCAACATGAGAAAAAGACTACGGGCTTGCATAAGACACGGCGGGCGTCAGTTCGAACAACAATTGCAATGAATTTTACCTTCATTTCATTATTGTATTTTACTTACCAATTGTAGTAATTTTTAGTCAGTTTTTATTATTCTGTAGCACAATTACAACTGTGTAAATAATCTAATCGTGTAACTTAACCGTAGTTTAAAATAATAACTATCCCATAGTTTATAGTTACATTATTTTCACAAAAACACTTTCTTATCAATCAGACAGTTGTGAAAATAGGAGACAAGCCCTTGATAAATTTACTCCCTATTATTGTATCACAATACATTATGTTTAGTTTCACACAGTTTTTGTGCACTTATCATACCAATTTAGATTCCTTATGAAACAAGGATATTATTTAAAATGTTTGTACGTTTTTTTGTATACTGATTTTTTTGTAAAACACCTTACTTACTGTAAAACGTTATTTGTTTTTCTTAGTTAAACATTTTTGAATGAAAATAAATACGTTGTTTGGTATTGTTTTCGAATCTTTTTTAATTTATAATAGTTAATTATTGAAATAATAACCCAAAACCACAAAAAACAAATGTTTAATCGCCAACTTTTTTCTCTCTCGACTTTTTTACTCTGAAATATGGATTGTTTTTAAAAAAATCTTAAATCTTCAATAACTTTTCAACCTATGAATATACTAATTTCGATAGCAAAGGGGCTGTACTATCACCTCTTAAAATGTTTTACACCTATTTACCTGTCACCCTGTATATATATATATATAATAGATATGGATATCGAGACCTGTAATATGTGATTTAAAAGCAGCGAGAGGCGGGTTGCCTAATGTGGCTCATAACATCTAGAAGTAATCGCCTTATGCTACTGAACCCAACACTCTCCTGTTGGTGGTGCTTCTAACAGCTGAAAAAGCTCCTAAAGTGCCAACCTCTGCTTACTCAATAAATCACAGATACTTTCAGTCAGTAGTTATTGTTGAATTGAAGATGGAAGAAACATGGTGAGCAGAAAAGTTAGTTTGAACCAAACACATTTCGATCATCAGATTTCGTTTCCAGATAATGTTTCTGCAGCAGGCGATACAGGAACACTACTTCATTCCTAGATTGTACAGATTATGGAACTGTCCGTTTGATGAGGTTCTTCACAGTTCTGCTTACGTTAGGCAGTTTAAAAATCGGGTTAAAAAGGTGTCTTAAGCTGCTTATAGCAGCCGCAGTATCTGGGTATTTATGTTTCTGCCTTTACGACTGCTTCGGTATAAAAGAAAAATCCGCATTTCCTTTAACAGCTCTAAGGTCCAAAAGAAAACCATCCAACGGTGACTGTTCTGATAAATTTGGTGTTAAACGACTCCCTACATAATTAGCAAAGAGTAGCTCAATCCTAATGAAAGTAGCTGCTACCACCGGTTTTATCATTATGTTGATACAACGCCGTCATTTTAATAGGCATTCATAGTCAAATGCACTAAAATTACGCATGTTTGGCGATAAACGATGCGATGTAAACATATAGGCTTGGCTCCTTCTCGTCTGTTCAAATTTGTTGGCCGATTCTCATCTCTCTTTTTTGATTTTGAGAATCTTTTGTTGACAATACATTTGAAAAGTATCGTTATTTGGTGAGGCTATATGCTTCGCTTGATAAAATGCCCGTGGTATTTGAAGCGACATTATAGGTACTTAGAAAAGAATAAGTGAACTTCAGAAAACGAAGCATTTTGCTGCTTCCGCGCTATAGAAATACCTATTTAAAATATTTTTCTTCTGAAAAAAAATGCTCACTCATTATGGCATATATTAGATACAAAAACATCTATACAAAAAATCTATGGTTACTTTTTATTATTTACTTCTCGCTATCCCATGTTTGGTGAACCGAAGCGAGTTACCATCAAAAACCAATATACGTATAAAATTACATTGACATGCTTTCTTGACGCAATATCCTTCGAAAGAAGCAAGAACTCATTATAAATTAGTTACAGCTTAGAAACCTAGAGCTACCCTGTCAGACACGTAATAAATAACATCCCATTTTGAGCAAATTCCATAATTCCTATCACAGCTTCTTTTGGTGTGTATGTTCCTTCATAGGAATTTCGATATCTCTCTGCTAGCATTCTTCCTGAAGTCTTTGTTGTAAACTTCGCTTTGCTGAAACAGAAGATAAGGCGTTATTACTAGCTGTATATCTGTTTAAAGGATTATTTTGCTCCATTTAATAAAGGTGCAGTCATATGAAGCAGAAAATAATCTGTTGGTTTGTAAACTCATTTAAGTGTTGTAGCCAAAGCGCAGCATATACGCTTGTCCGTAAAATAAGTTCCACGGGCTGCCGCTGGCGCTAGGATCGTTTATATGCACAGCCAGGCAACAGAGGCAGATTGTTTGGTTCCCCCACTCCAATGCCTCACCAAGCCAGCGTCGCTGCGACCTGCGACGTTTAGTCTTGGTTCAGCAGCCGTCAACGATGGAGCTTCCTCTTGCGTCTCCCGCCAGCTGCGAGTTGCGGTCTGTTATTCGTTTCCTGGCCGCTAAGAAGAAATCGGCGAAGGAAATTCACGAAGAACTTTGTCAAGTGTATGGAGAAGACTGTATGAGCTGCGGGATGGTGCGCAGATGGGTCAGGGACTTTAAAAATGGCCGAACAGACGTCCACGACGAAGCCCGTGCAGGGCGGCCATCGGTTTCCGACGAAACAATTGCCAAAGTCGAAGCGGCAATGCTTGAAGATCGACGGATTACAGTTCGGGAGCTGTGCACAAAGATTCCGGAGGTCAGCAAAACCACAATTGACAAGATTTTGACTGAACATTTAGGCTATTCAAAGGTGGGTACCAAGAATGCTCACTGCAGACCACCGGCGGCAGCGGGTTGAAGCGGCCCAAGAATTTCTCGAGACCTGGGTACACTACACCACACCGGAAACAAAGGAGCAATCGAAGCAGTGGAAGCACTCTTCTTCACCAAGAGCAAAGAAGTTCAAACAAATCCTGTCTGCCGGGAAAATCATGGCTAGCGTTTTTTGGGATCGAAAGGGCGTATTGTTGTGCGAGTTTGTGCCTCGCGGGACATCAATCAATGATGACCGGTACTGTGAGACCTTGAAAAAACTTAGACGTACCATTCAGAACAAGAGAAGAGGAATGCTGACGAAAGGAGTGCGTTTTCACCATGACAATGCCCGACCGCACACCGCCAATCGAACCACAGCCCTCATCGAAAGATTTGGATGGAAAATGGTGCCTCACCCACCCTACAGCCCAGGCTTAGCACCAAGTGACTTCCATCTCTTCCCTGAGTTGAAGAAAAACCTCGTATGTACAACTCATTAAAAAATGAGGGGATTTTTAACCTCCTTCATGGAAAATAAAGTTTCTTGATCTTTGAAGACGCGTTGCCATAAGTCCATCTCGAACCCCGACCAAGCTCCTCTAAAGGATTCCTTTGACTAGTTGCACTTTGCGTGACGTGTCATAACACTTTACAAAGAACCTCCATCTATAGCGTAGTCTAACTGAACGATTTTCTTGATATTAAATGTTTTTTGTTACAGTTTTCAACATGTGTTCAGTTGAAAACGCACCAAATTGCCTCAAAATCATTTAAGAAAGGTTAATGGATGAATATATTTTTGATTCGGCTACTCTCGAATAGATGGCGCTGCATATCGGTAGCCACCTCAAAGCCCATCGTTTCGAATGTCTACCTTGGGCTGCTGAAATCTGAAATCCGTACAGTAAGCCCCAATGCATGCAAGTAGGAGGACGCAAATCAATACGCAATATTAGAAATAATGAATTAATCCAAACAAAGTAATATTTTCATCAAAAAATGAAGTGATTTTTAATCCCCCCCTCATGGAAATTAAAGCTTCTTGGTCTTTGAAGATGTGTTGCCACTTCTTCTCCGTCTTATCGGACAAATCATTTTGACAGCTCAATTTCACTTCGTTTGCTGATAGATGGGGCGAGAGACATTTTACAGTCCGATTTTTTCATAATTACGTTTGTTAGATGCCACTTAACAGGAGGTTACCGGACGGTAACCTGGTGTAAATTTGTTTATATAATTTTTTTGAAAAAACGCTTTTTCGCTTTGAACAAAACTTTTTGCGTTATACTTAACTTACTTCGCCTGCTGGCTTAGCAATGAGATCTTACGTTCTTCGATGTTATATGATAGCATCACGAAAAACCATGCCACATTTCCGTTAGTCTGTCGGTCTGCCTGCCCGCTGAGACTTGGCTTCCTCGGATTTTGATTAAATTTTCATACGAGGGATGAAAGACGGAAAAGCTTTGTAAAACGCTCAAACCCCGTTTTTGACGTTTCAGAGCCTCCTCATCATTTGCAGAAAAATTTTTGTAGGTTAAAGACTGATGGTTGGGTTTGTAGGGGTTGGGTGGGTAGATACTCCGTACATTTGTCCTTGAGACTTGGAGAAATATCTACAGACGCGGCACACGGTCGACCAGAACGGATCACTGTGTGTGCCGGTGTCCCTCATTTTGTTACAGTACCTTGGTTGGCGCTCATGGCAAGGTTGACTGGTGTGGTTTAGCACCGTTGCCAGATGGTGGATACTCAGAGCAGGGAAGAAATTAGCGTTAGCTTTATAAAATATGGATCTGTTTGGCTGATTTGGTTTATTCAACTTTATGTCGTCATTTTTTGAATCACTCTCAACGTTTAAAGTCCTTACTGACAGTTATAAGCGCTTTAAAGTTTCATTCGCAAAAATGACCGTCTTCAATGCTTAAGCACTTGGTACAGGGTGCGGCACAGAGGATGGACGGTTTTAAAAAAATCATAAACAGTCAATTTTTACTCGAAAACAAATTTATTGATGGAATCAGGTTCACAAGGAAATAGCATTTGAGACAGTCAAGTGTGGAAAATCACATCAGGCATGTGGTAGCCGAAATCGTTGATGCAGTGTTGGAGGCGTACTTGGAAGTTCGCGTAGACTCTCTCCAACATCGCTCCCACAACTTGGACGACTTCCACGTGAATTTCGCCCTTCAATTCGTCCAGAGTTCGGGGTTTGTTCGCGTATACTCTAGCCTTGAGGTGTCCCCATAAGAAAAAATCGCATGTGGATAAATCTGGGGACCGAGGAGGACAATGAACATCGCCAAACCTGGAAATAAGGCGACCAGGAAAGAGAGGGCGAATAACGTCCATGGATGTGTGGGCGGTCGCCCCATCCTGCTGGAACCACACACGTCGGATTGGAACACGTCGCCGTCGTAATTCAGGGAGAAAGAAGTTGGTGATCATGTCGACGTAGCGCTCTGAGTTCACGGTAACATCACGACCATTACCGTCTTCGAAGAAGTAAGCGCCAATGATGCAAGTTTGCGATACAGCGCACAAAACCGTTACTTTTGGGCTGCGCAGCGGTCTTTCGTGTAACTGTTGCAGATTTTCATTAGCCCAATAACGAGAATTTTGCTGGTTAACCATGCTGTTTAGGTGAAAGTGGGCTTCGTCACTCATAAACAAAATGAGGTTCTCATTTTGATCGATCAGTGCTTCCATCTCACGTGCGAAGTTCATTCGTTGTGCATAATCTCCCCGCTGTAACTGTTGCACAATGGCCAATTTGTAGGGGTGAAAGCCGAGATCCATATGCAGAATTCGCCTCACCGAACGATCACTAAGGCGAAGTGCAGCAGCATATTTCTGGGCAGATCGAGTCGGACTGCGAAGAAAGACCTGTCGAACGCGTTCAACGTTTTCAGGAGTTCGAACTATTCGCGGCGCTCCTCTTGGTGTTCCGTTGATCAATTCACCACGCCTGTGAAGTGATTCAACCCAACGAAGGATGGTGTTTCGAGAGGGAACAGCTCTATTCCGATGAATGTTGAAGTGGCGACGAAACTCACGCTGTAAGAGGATAACTGACTCATTATTTCGGACGAAACAATCATAGGCGAAAACGCGGTGCTCTACCATCCAAGGCTCCATAACGACAACTGGTGAAATAATGCTAGGATCTCACGAGTCTAACGGCACCCGCCCCACCTCTCTCGTAGATGGAGGCGGAGAGTACTACCCATCCCAAAAACGTCCATCCTCTCTGCCGCACCCTGTATAATAGCAACATTATGTGACAATGTTCTTTGTATATGCGGACCGATGATTAGCGGGCAGACAGATAAAAAGGCCGACATACCGATGGAAATGGGTGATATAAAAACGTCATTTCCATTTTGTTCGCAATTACAATTCATTCTCGCCATTAGCGTGGGATATAAAGCATCCCTAGGATTTAAAAATGCTCAACATTCAACCGAATGTTGATACATTAAAGATGTGAGATGTACCTCTGGGACAAAACAGATATCCTCAAATTAACAGAACATTATGAAAATAGAGCCAGGACAACAAACGTTTGCCCTGAGTATAACTTTACTTATTATTCGTTCATTTCCTATTTCAATACATCTCACAAGAGCAAATATATCATTTCTATATTTACCTTGAGAGCCTCTTTGAGCTCGAGGTCGTACAATCGTCTGATACCCCGTAGGTTCCTTTGTATGATTTTATTGAATTCCTTCCTAGTTATCCTGAACGGTTCGGTCGTATTGCTGTCCTTGGGTGGAGGAGTTGGCTGAAAACAAGTTCAGTAAATAACAATAGATTATTTTGCTATTTGTTGAGTCGGCAATAGGGAGGTATATCGTTCTAGTGAATATGCAGGCTGTCCCAGAATAATATTGCAATATCATAGGAGGATGTATAACACAAAAAATAATTTCACAAGTTACCTAAGGGGCGAAATATAGCTTCTTTCTGGATCTTTCAGGTTTTTTTTTTTTTTTTGGCTTTAGGACTATGCCATGCAGCCAGAAACTAGGTTGGATATTTTATATATTTCTATAATTATGGACTTACAAACACACGACGTCACAACATCCATGGCGAAGGCGAGATTCGAACTCGCGGCCCGGCCGGCCGGCTGATCAGTAGCACGACACTCTGACCAACGCGGCCAACCGAGGCCCCGATCTTTCAGGTTTGTAGTGGAAAAAGTAGTCGATACGTATTTGGTTACATTTGGTCAGAAAATTATACTTTATTGATAGACACTTCAGTGCAATCGGTTTACAATGCAGCCGGATCCCAAAAAGTTTAGCAAAAATCTGTAACTTCCAGGCTTTCAGAAGTCACCGATTACGAATCTATTGTCAAATCTGTCATATTCTAGCGGCACCGGTACCTACATTTAATCCAGTACCAAGATTAGTGGAAATGTACTGGTATGAAAATATTTTCGTCGAGAATGGCTCATTTTAACTATTAAGCAAGAGTATATATTTTCAGCTCAAAGACCAGGCTAACAATATTTGAATCACTGGTATGCAGCGAGTAGAAAAATTAGCAATATGCCTTTGAAGCTCCCATCTCTGGTGTTCTAAATGAGTTAATTGTTTTCCATGGACCCAATCATGTGAGGCCCAAATTTGTTACCGGGCTGTCAAAATTTCCTACAGTGTCTTCCAAAACATCAATTAGAAAAACCGATTTCCTTTACCGTTCGACGCGTGTAACTTTATAGCGGAACTCCTTAAGAATGTTTTATTGCAACTTGTTGCAATGCTTATTGGGTCCTATAAGCATATGCATCCATATCTCACTATGGCACCCTGTATGATTGTAACTGCAAATAATTCTCAAGGTAGATTACAGGAGAAAGACGTTCTAAGCCGGGGGTCTTGGAAAAAGTCAGAAGGCTATTTCAGGCTACAGCCAAAGCCAATGAGGACCTTGGTCAGAACCAGATAAGGAAATATATGGGAAGTGACATACTCAGGCGGGCGAGACATACTCACCACATAGTCTTCTGGCAAAAAGTTGTCATTAACCTGTTTATTCACGGACTGGATGGTATTTTTTGTATCGTTCCATTGCTGAAAGATAAGAAAAAAAATCGGTTTTATGCGTGGCACTCAACAAGTTTGAAAAAAAGGGGATCGCGGAAACGCTAACAGATGCGCCAACAGAGACAAAGCTGTGCATTCAGATAACTAAGAAGAAGTCATTTAGAAAGCTAGGCAATTCAGAGTATTTCTGGAGATGGAAAAGGTCGAATCTTCAAAAAACAGTTCTATTTTCCCTGACTTTATTTTTAAGTAAATTACACATTAACATTGTCACGATACCAACTTGATCCTCTTCTTGCCCTCTGTCACCAAATATATTTTTCGTATGAATGTCATATTGTGTGTATGAAATTTTTAATTTTGATTCCAAAGATGTTTAATATGTCATACATTGACGTTGGCAACCCTTGGCCAATTAAAAAAAATATATATTTTCATACGAGTAGGTATTATTGAAAATGAGTTTTATAATATTTGTTACTTACACTAAATGTTTCCATCAGTTGCTTGATATTATCGGTTTTCCGACCAACTATATGAAGGTTATTTTCTTAAACATTTGTTTTATAGTAATCCATGTCATTAAGTATTAACAATATGACGTCATTAAAATCTTAAATTGCGTCTGTTTACCAGTGTCCTGTTCCTATCTGATAGTTTCAAGGCGTCTTTAGGAACTTCTGGTCTAATTAAATAATTTTTTTTCCAATAACGTATACATTTTTCGAATCAGAATTAGTAACGATATTCATGTGTGCAAAAATCCAATATGGCGCTCAAAAGAAAAACCAAGGTGGACGATTGAACGCAAGAAACGAAACAACATATTGAAATCATGCCACCTTGTATAGGAGAAAAAGTGGCAGTATTAATATGCAATTTATTTTGGAACATATAATGCCAGCAAAAAATAAAAACTATTTTGGAAATATTTGATTTCTTCGTCTCCGAGAATACTCTGAGTTGAGAAACTTCTTTGTTTGCCTAAATCCGCAACTTTGCTCCTATTTAACCGACTTCTTATCTCTGGTCTATATTCAAGAACTTCTAAAGGTTGAAGCTAAGCTTTATAAATCAACAACAAAAACATGCCGCCCCTTATCAGCTTTCAGCCAGCTTTACTATTGAACAAATATTTTTATGTCAGCAAGAAACTCTCCCACTGTTGATTGCGACCGATTATTGGAATTCATTGTATTGAAAGCACGCGATGTTTTAAGAGTTTGGGTTTTATCGCAAAGCCGTCAATACGAAAGCATTTGCATATTTTAGCATTTTTATACAAAGCTTCCGAGGATTTACCTGTTCATCGCAGTGAAAACATTTTTATTCCATATTAAACTGAACGTTATTTTCAAGTACCTCCAAAGGAATGATAAACTCGTAGTATAATAAGAGCTTTCAGCTTTATTTTATTTCATAATAACCATCGATGTGGCACCATTGCCTTTGGATTTTGTGTCATAAAGAATATATATTCTCAGAAAATATCTGCCTACGCGATGTTCCGATCCAAAGACATAATTTTATGAGCTTAAGACATTTGCTAAAGTCGTGCACGTCTGTAGATAGAAAACTTTGTGTACTGTGTTCAACAGAGGTACATATTCTGCTGACATAGATTGTGAATAATCTCCAAGCACCTATTTCGGGTTCCTCGTTAAATTTTACTTTCTATATGATGTAACACGCTCCCAGTTTTACTTCTCATGTCAGCGGTTCTTACACAATCAGACTATTCTTTAGAATCTTACCTCAAACATTACCGAAAAAAGCGTCTTGAAGAATCCAGGTCTCCTTGTCGCCCTTTTCACCCTTGGAGCACCTGTTACGTGTTTTGGTATATCCTGCAATAGTTAAAAAAGTCATTTTAGTCATACAGGGTGAGTTAAATTTAAGCGGATCTTGTTTTCATGCACCTCATTACTGTCTTCTCTCAGTGGCGTGGGAAGTACGAGGAACATAACAAAACTGATGCTGGATTCCAAAACTCACATCTGCGAGGTTTTGTCAATTTAATAGTCTTTGCCAAAGCATTGGTTGTAAAAATTGACTTACGCCTACATGGGTTTCATAGATCAAACGGAAAACATATTATAGAGTGTGTCTTGCCTACCTATCATTACGTCTTTGAAATCAGTCGATTACAAACCTTGTCATTTTCCTGAGTGAATACTGAGGGTCTGTCCAAAGCTAAGGCTAGGTATGCAGTCACCAGGAGGAGAAAGAAGCTTTGAAGCAGTATCCTATGACGCATATCCTGTAACGAAGGAAACTTGATTTAAGGAAATCTTGTTTCATCTGCAACATGTTTCCAATATCACCAAGATAGTGATGCATTTATACGCGAAATTATACTTGACAGCTTGGGAGCTTCATGCCACGGCGCTTGCAGCATCCAGGCTTCTTGAAACTTGTGGTGCTTCCAAATGCATGTTTGAAATTACCTACCTACTTTTATATACTTAATATCGGAATCCTACTTAATGTAATCTAATAAGAGGAATATAAGCTGCTATGGTGTGTGAAATTTCTTCAGTCACTCCGTCCTGATGAGGCATTTTGAAAAGTGAATGTCTACCCATTGCAAATAATATTGCCAAGAAATAGCTGATGTTGCTGAGATGTTTATTATATATGCCTTATATTGCAATATGATCGTTATGAATCTTATAAACGGGCAATATTTGTGACCGCGCCATATATCTCGACTATATCTAGGCAATATTGTCTGCAATGCGTCGAGACCTACTGGTCAGAATGTCCCATCAGAAGGAGTACAAAATATACTAAGTGACATATAAATCCGAACACCCAGTTTAAATGGTTTTATTTTAATAAAATTTTGTATAAGTACTTAATGAAGCATAATAAGTAAATGATAAAAAATTCAAAATGATTGCACTGCTTTAAAGCCCTTTGACCTTTAATAATGTGTGGATGCACCCTGATGTGCTACGCATTCTCCAACGCGCCTAGGCATGCTTCTGATCAGGTGGTCAATGTCCTCCTGTGGTATCTCATTCCAGGCAACCACCAACTCCTCTCGAAGTGCTTCTGGAGTCTGAGGAGGACGTTGCAAATTGAGCAATCTCCTACCCATCATATCCCACACGTGCTCAATTGGGGATAAGTCGCGAGATCTTGGTGGCCAAGGTAACAATGTGACATCATTATGTTGAAAGAAGTCTATTGTGACTCTTGCAACATGTTGTCGGGCATTATCTTGTTGGAAAGTTGGATTTGCCAGGGTGTCAAGATAGTGTAAAAGATGGGGTTCTAGAACTTCGTGGATATAACGCTGCGCGTTCATGTTACCTCTGATGAAGATTAAAGGTGACCTGGAACCATGAGCTATAGCACCCCAAACCATAACTCGAACAGTGTGATGAACATGTCTTTCAACAAAAAACTGTGGATTCCTCCTTTCACCACGTCGCCTTCTAACCCTGGCACGACCATCGTGCATGCCTAAACAAAATCGAGACTCGTCACTAAAGACAATACTGTTCCATTCCTGATCCCAGAGTGACCGTTGTCTGCACCACTCAAGGCGATTACGTCGGTGTTCTCGAGTTAAAGGGAGGACCCAGTGTGGCCGGTATGAAAACAAGCCAAAACTTCTCATTCGTCGGTAAACACTTCGCATGCCAATAGGTCTTCCGTGTTCTGCAAACCATTCATTTGCAATGGACCTGGTAGTGGAGAAACGGTCCCTTAAGGCCAATAATCTTAGGCGGCGATCTTCACGGTCTGTTGTTCTACGGCGGCGTCCAGTGCCCCTTGCTGTTTGCGTACGGCCTTCTCGCAGTCATGCCTGACAACACCTAACCACAGTGTCTACACTTCTTTGCACTCTAACTGCAATTGCCCGAAAAGAAGGTCCAGCTTCCCGAAGTCCCACTATACGGCCTCTATCAAACTCACTAAGTTGACGAAATCGTACAGGTCTCCGTACTCTAGGCATCGTAACCGATCGTAAAGGATGTCAAGAACCAAAATCCGCCAACGTTGATTCTCTACTGTGGCTGAACTATTCATTTTTAGAGCGTTGGTGAATTAAAAAAAAGCAGTATAAAAACAGGAATGTCCAACTGATAAGGCTGAAAATTTTTTCACTTGTTATTTACAGTAAGATAGATACATTCACCAACTTTTATTAAAATAAAACCATTTAAACTGGGTGTTCGGATTTATATGTCACTTAGTATACATTACATAAAGCAGGATTTGTCAATCTGACAGCAATACATTAAAATGGATCAGGAATATCAACAAGTATAGTCGTGCTAGAAAAATATTGCCTATGGAGAAGTGCCATCATAACTGTGCTTCAGTTGTCTATAGTTGAAAGCCTATTTCGGGATACTACTCTACTAAAAAAATGCAGTATTTGGAATTATTCTGCTGATTCAATTCGAACAGCCTTTGTTTCGATGTATACTAGAAACTAGGTCTATGTTTTAATTCATGTAACAAACGTTAAGCTAGGTTATGTAACGTCTCTTCCGAAAAAGTAGCAAGTGAAAAAGTAATTGTTACGAAGATATGAGCTTCTTATTATAGCACCTACTCAAAAACTATTGTTATTCAGATCCATATAGAAACGCCTAGAAGATTTTCTCAAGGAAATCATCTATGTTCTCTGGACATTTTTGACGTAGTAGCAAACATTCATTAACAACGACCTGTAAAGCACACTTTACAAGTTCCATCTTTCTGTCCAGTTTTCTATATGCCCTAGGGGCTACGTTTTGGTCAATCTATTTTGAACTACATGATTACCACGGGGATTGTTCTTTTTTATTTTTATTCCTATGCAACGCCACTACTACAGGTGACGAAATAGGAGGTTGTTGGTTTTCCGCTCTCAAAAGACAGGAGTATCAAATTTTCTCGGGGGGCCAAACCTTGTAATTCCCAAAAGTTGTACAAAGAACCATACTTAGAGTGCCAGCTAAGTATCAGCCCAGTTCTAACGGGGTGGGTTGATTACATTTTGTACGTGTCCGAGACGTAATAAATAACTATTATTAAATTACGCACATACGCATAAGAGCATCGTTGGTAATGCTCAAGAGATGCTTTGTAAACAAAATAATATACTGTAATTTTCAGTAAACTTTATTGCCAACTATTAGGTAGCCATACTGCAATCAGGCATTAAACTCGTTGCAGATATCGTTATAAAGCTAGATAGCATGCACGAATCCGCTCAAAAGACTAAAACAGGCGACCCTGCTGTACATGACAGAATACGAAGGGTCCAAACAAAATGAGTAGGCGGATAAGCCAAACCGGAAATTGGCGGTTGTCAGGTCCCTTCTGTGGTTTGACTGAAATACACACAAAGCAGCAGAATACTGGAAAGATAAATAAGGGCAGAATCAGGTAACAAAGTTCATAAAGGAATTTTAAAGGTGTTTACAAATTACATGTAAACATTTTTTAATGCAAAGGCTGTAATGGTAATGGTCGGTTTTCTTATAAGAGACTGTGCCCAAAAGCGATAGGAATTGGTGTTGAGTAGATTGACTTCTGTACTCCTCACGCAAAAAATCGACAAGAACAATTATTTGCATATGAGGAATAGAGTCAACCTACTTGGAACATATTTCTAGCAGACTAAATATGATGACCCCAATTTTTTATTCTTGATTATATCACGTGGAGCAGCCTGTGGCAATAGTAGCTGATAAACCAAAAGTATGACCATAATATAATTTGACTAATGCAGCCTCCGTTGAAAATATTTTAGGAAGTGAAACCTACGTTAACGTCAAAGCGAGTCAATTTATTGGCCTCATCGGGCGGTCGCGAACCGTCAACGTAGTATCTATCCCATCATTTCAATTAGCAAACTTATGACTATCATGTCTGAGACATGAGTGTAGTAGTATTACCAGATTTATTTTTGCATCTAATGATAATACCTTATTTAATTTTTTATTCTTTGCTGTTGTTTGTAAAAACGAAGCATTCAATTTTCATGTAGTTTCTATTCAACAATTCCGAATAGGCATTTGATCATAACATATCTGATTAGCAGGTTAGGTTAGAGTAGCTCTGGGCTAAACTTGGCCTACTTCTTTTTAATTTATACTTCTGAATATTTTCATTTATTCCATTAAAGACGATATTATCTATTTATCTATTAGCGAGATTGATGCTTTTAAATTATAGAACATATTTCGGTGTTACCAAAGATGCAATCTCCTGTTCCCTGCAATCCCCAACCCTAAATTTTAAAGTGCAAAAAATTTCTGCGAATGAGCAAGAGAAGTCTGAGTATATTACAGGACTGTTCAGATTATTGTAGTAATAGACTGTAGGTGTGTAAATGAAGGAAAAGACAAACGAAGCGTCACCTGGAAGACAGATGAACAAAATACGAGTATATCGACAAGTGTCAATTGCACGATGTAAAGGAGCTTTAAGCATACAGGTATATGTGGTTTGATTTAGACAGACGAACATGTCTGGAAAAAGATGCTTCCCGAACCATTTTCCCGATGAATAGCAGAGGAAAAAGTGTGTCAGTCTCGCCGTCGTTCATCTCTAAGGTGAAATTAATTTTGTGATGAAAAATTTTACGATATGAAGAAACTTTATGATTTTTCCAAAGTCCTTGACAAGTGCTTGTCATCGTTCTCAAGAATACCTCGATGCTCTGCATTTCCAACATCACGCAACAGCCATTTTGTATCGCTAACCCACTGTTATTGTAGATAGTCAAAAACAAAAGCCGGACACTGCTGTTGTAGATTAATCCAGGCTTTGTGTAGAAACGTATAAGTACTTGTGGGATACAACTGACTGTGTATTTTTATCTGTACAATCAGCTATTCATTAACGTGACCGCATTGACTGCAATTTGCAATGCTTTCTCTTTGGCACTAGTTTACATGTACATATTAGAACGCCGCATGGGCGATAAATATAGTACAATAGATATGAGGAAGCGGATCTTGCGTTTCTGCAGAGTATATATTTGCGACGTATATGTTTATATAGGCTATTCTATCATTTTTGTTGTTTTATACGGCTAAGTAGGCGCAAAACTTGGACAGCAGAATGCGTGATTGCTATAGAAAGTAGCTAAGCAGGTTGACTTCAAACCTACTGCGTAGTGTATTGGAACTGATTCGAAACTCTTCATGAATCTCATAGCCAACTTCAATGATCTGTAAAGGTTTAAAACGATCCTGATCATAGTCTTCATTTTCAAGCTGGAATCGCTGCAACAGATGTATAGAGTCT